CCCCAAAACCCCAAAACCCCAAAACCCCGCGAGGGTAAATAAGTTAAAATAAAATAGGAAATAAAATAGTAAATTATAGAGAATTAAAATTGGTCTGTTAATGATGATGAATAATTCCTCCCATTATCAAAAACTAGGTAGACAAGGGCAACGTGAATGTAATAATAATTATTTGAATTATATAGAGCTTAAAAGGAATGATAAAAGAACTGGGCCAGTCAGAGCTAAGCATCCCGCTAATCTTACAGCTAACTATCCCATTCATCATGAAGTCTACACTTCTCAGAGACAACACTACAACTAGCACAATTAGCCTTCAAGTTTACCTAGAGATGTCCCTTCTAATACTGCAAAGTCTCTAGAAAAATCAAAAAAGAAAACATTCAGTCTTATTGAATTAATGGCTAAGACAAAGCAATAGCTTACATTTGAAATAAATGCGCCAGATCACCATAAGATATCGCTGATGAACCAAATTGAGACTATGATTAATGATCTTAACAATTAAATCGTCAATATAAGTGAAGATCTCGGCAAGTCAAGATAAGGCATTTCAATAAATATTGACTCTAAAAGAACCAAGAGAAAAGTTAGAAGACTTGATGAACAAGTTAATGACATTATTCAAAAAGTATAATAACTGACATTAGATGAAAGAAGCACGGGTACTGACAAAAGCAGAACTTAACTCAAGGTAAATAACTTTCAAGTCTACAATGACAATAGCTCCCTTTCAACCAATCTATCTTCATAAATTAGAAAACCGACCTTGCTAGATCCTTAGCACATTTAGCATGACATGAGATCTCTTAGTAGACCAAGACATGAATATGGTTCTAATCCTATGAGCACTCATTATGCAGCCAGACAAGAAATGTTTTATCATAATAACAATCAGTCAATTGGCTCTTTAGGCAATGAAAATTATCCGTCAATCCACTCTAGTCATAATCTTTCACAAATATAAAAATCAAAGTCAGAGTTGTAAAAGAAGCAGCACCCAAATAGATATTAACAGCTGTTCAACTAGAATGACGAGACTTGGAAAAAACTCTAGGAACTTATCAACATTGGCACTGATTCTGCAATTAATCTTAATTTACTCAATACTTCAGGTTCTTAAGAAGATAAATCAAATGCTGGACCCGCTATCAAAATTCCAGATAGGTTTGATAATGCCTCAGTTAACTAATCCAGCAACTTCAATTAACCATCTTAATAGATAAAAATCAAAGACTACTTAGATTAATAGGCCTAGCCAAAGAATTCAGCCACAAACAGCTTACCTACAATCTAAAAAGAAAGCACTGTTGAGATCGAATAGCTCAGAAACCAAATTAAGGAAGTAATGCAAATCACTAAAGACCAAGGTCATCAAACAAGCTTGAAAATGCAGACTCTTGAGCATTAAAGTTCGCAGTTAGAATTCTAACTAACTAAAGTTGCATAAGAACAGTCAAAGATGACTGAGAACTTCCAATAATTAGAGAATAGATACAAAGACATTATCAAGGAAAATCAAGCCATAAAAAATGAACTCTTAGATCTGAGGAAAAATCGGCAAATCATAACAAAAGTCACTCCAGACTCTAGCTTCAACTTGCCCCTAAACAGGACCAACATCAATGAGACAGTTGCAGGACACAAGCAAACTGAGAGTGACTTCTTCACCCCTAATAAAACTAGAGACACTGAAAGAACCATCAAGAGAGACCATTACAATATATCTACTGGGAATTGTGACAAACCTTTAATCAATGACTAGTACCTTCATTATAGTAATGCAAATAATCTAAGTATGTTCAGCCAGGAAAAAACAATGCCTTCAACTATTTAGAATACAGAGACCAATCATTAGGTAAAACTTAATGGAAAGTTATCTCTTAATCAAAATACTAGTAGCTATTATGCAGCTCCTTTTCACTCAAAACTTAACAGTGCTTACGATAAGTCTGGGGGTGTCTAAATATAGCAGCATAATAACGCCAATAATAATGATAGACATCTGGCCGATTACAGATTTAATAAATATTCATAGTAATAGTAATATGTATTGTGATTTACAGAATATTAATAATCCTATTAATTTAATTTACCAAATAAACACAAATTGCTGGGGTTTTGGGGTTTTGGGGTTTTGGGGTTTTGGGG